ATCATTACCTCCTTCAACGACTCGCTTGACATTCAAATCTTCGACTACAACGATTTCAGAAAGCACAAGGAGCTTGGAGTGGCCTCTTTCCCTCTGGAGAACGTGGAGGAGCTCGCCGTGCATGAGAACGAAAGGCTGGAGGTCATTGCTGATGGAAAGGCTCGTGGCTTCGTGTCTTGTGATATCAGGTTCTTCCCCGTCCTGGAGCCTAAGAAGCTGGAAGACGGCACTGTGGAGCCGCCACCTGAGTCCAACACGGGTATTTTGAGGTTCACCGTCGAGCAAGCCAAGGATTTGGACGGCACCAAGAGTCTTGTCGGTCTTCTCAACCCTTACGCAACCCTCCATCTCAACGGCAGAGACATCCACCACACGAAGAAGCTCAAGAGAACGAACAACCCCATCTGGGACAACGGCTCAAAGGAAATGCTCATCACGGACAGGAAGAATGCCAAGCTTGGTGTCACGATCAAGGATGACCGTGATCTGACCGGCGATCAGGTCCTTGGCAAGTACCAGATCAAGCTTGAGGACATGATGGAGTGTATGGAGAAGGGCCAGGAATGGTTCCACTTGTCCGGCGTTCAGACTGGTCGCGTCAAGATGATGGCACAGTGGAAGCCTGTTGCACTGTCTGGTATTGTTGGTGGTACTGGCGGCTACGTCACCCCGGTAGGTGTCATGCGCTTTCACTTCAAGCACGCTCATGATCTCCGGAACTTCGAGACCCTCGGCAAGTCTGACCCGTACGTGCGAGTGCTTCTGTCCGGCATTGAAAAGGCCCGCACGGTTACTCACAAGAACACTCTTGACCCCGAGTTCGATGAGGTTCTCTACGTCCCAGTCCACTCTGCTCGCGAGAGACTGACTGTCGAGGTCATGGACTCCGAGAAGATGGGCAAGGACCGCAGTCTGGGTCTCGTTGAGGTCTTTGCCGGCGACTACATCTCACAGGCGGAGAATGGAGAATACAATGTGCACGACCAGAAGAAGATCATTCAGGGAGGCCTGCAACTTCATGGCAAGGGTATTGCGAAGGGTGTTTTGACTTACAACGTGGCATTCTACCCCTGCCTAAACGTCGCTGACCCCGAGGATGAGGAGGAAGAGCACGCAGAATCATCGGCTGAGAAGGCTTTGGAGAGCGCGACTCGTTCTGCCGAAGCTGGCAAATTCAGTTCACTCGAGCAGAAGAAAGCCGACGAGAAGAGGCACAGTGGAGCGGAGCTTGAGCCAAGCCCGCCCAAGACCCCGGTCACACCGGTTTCGCCAACCATGCCCAGAAAGTCCAAGGACGAGAGCGGACCCCCCAAGATTCGACTCTCTCCTCAGGAGCTGCTCAAGTACGAGTCTGGTCTTCTGATCTTCAAGCTGATGGAGGCCGAGATGCCGGAGCACAACACGCACTTGGAGGTTTGGGTCGACGACATGGCTTTCCCGTCATACACATCGTCAGCAGCAAAGCACAAGAAGCACACTTTCGAGGAGATTGGCGACTGTTTCATTAGAGAGCTTGACTTCTCTCGCTTGACGCTGAAGGTGCGAGAGAAGGGGGACAAGATTGAGGGTAGCGAGAAGGACAAGGACCACACAATGGCGAAGCTTCAGGGCAACACCTTGGATACGCTGAAGCAGTGTCTCGTAAGTCGTCGGTCATGTTTTGCTAAGAATCAAGGGCTAACCGACCATCAGAACAACCCCACAACACTCAAGTTGAAGGACAAGGAGAATCGCCCAAGCAGCGTCAAGGTCAGCCTGAAGTACATTCCTGTCAAGATGCAGCTCGACCCGAGTGAGAGTATCAACAACATGGGAACGCTTCGTGTGGACGTCCTCGACGCCCAGGATCTCCCTTCGGCAGACTCCAACGGAAAGAGTGACCCTTACTGCAAGTTTGAGCTCAATGGCGAGGACGTGTACAAGACGAAGGTTCAGAAGAAGACGTTGCATCCCGCCTGGAACGAGTTCTTCGAGGTTCCCGTACCATCAAGGACGGCTGCCAAGTTCAAGGTCACGGTGTGGGATTACGATTTCGCTGACAAGCCGGATTTCCTTGGAGCTGCCGACATCAATCTCGAACAGCTCGACCCGTTCAGGCCGAGTGAGAGCCGGTTGATACTTGACGGCAAGTCGGGTACAGTGAGATTGAGGATGCTTTTCCGGCCGTCGTACGTCACTCGAACACGACAGGGCACATCCACCTTCTCCGGAACGTTTGCAGCTCCTGGTAGAATTGTCACCGGTGTTGTGGGAGCGCCCATCAAGGTTGGTGGTGTAGTTGGACACGGTGTTGGCAAGGGCGCTTCTTTCCTCAAACGCGGGTTGTTCTCCAAGAAGGATGACGACTCCGATGGCCCCTCGTCAAGCTTTAGCGAGATCCCGACCATTGTTGAGAATGGCAGCCCGCCTGGTCCGACTCCTGGACTCGGTCTCAAGAGAGCAACTGGCTTTTCCACGTCTGATGGCAGCGATTCCACAGACACTCGACCCGGAACCTCTTCCAACGGCAATGGTTCGACTCTCGGTGGCCACAACCGCACCAAGAGCAACGGTGCGGCCTCCGTTCATAGCCTCAACCCTGGGTCCCCGGGCTCTGGAAGTGCCACGTTCACCGTGGTTGCTGCCAAGGGCTTCCCGCCTTCAGCTGACTTGTACGTCGTCATCAACCAGTTGGCACCGAAGCCGAAGGTCATTGGAAAAACCAAGCACCACAAGGATGCCACAGGCTTTGTCAGGTATAACGAGACTTTTAAGAGCACTTGCACTGCCGACACTCAATTCAAGATTGAGGCCAAGGGCGAGCACAAGTTCAGTAGCGATGACGACTTGGGTGAGGCTCTCTACTTCGTCGATGAGAGTGGTGCGGAGGCCGAAAAGGAGATCAAGGTCGGCAGCGGATCAGTTGTCATCAAGAGCAACTTCATCCCTTCCGCCGAATCTCTAGAGCCTGGAAGCCCCAAGTCAATCGTTCGCCGCAGCTTCATGGGCAAGAGAGAAAGCCGAAGCAGGGAAGGAACACCGACGTGATTGCACCTTCGGACCATACTTTCTACAAACGTTTCTCCTGAATCTCTAGCAGTTCTTTTCTTTTGAAATCAAAAGCTCCTGATCGCTTTCAGATACCTCCACGCCGTTGGGTGGCTAGTTTCATCCACTCATGGAATCTCTATTTATTGTCTTGATTTTGAGGGTATGGAGTCGGAGGTCAAAGGAGGATGGGTGGGAGGATGGCGAATACGGCAGACAGAATATTGCAGAGATTTTTGCAGTTGCACTTGCCGGCAGAGCACTTTCTTAGCTGCGCTGTAATTAATGACATTCAGATGTGCAAAATCATATCCATGTTGATACAGCAATTACGTGTGGTTGCATGCCGTTGGAGAGAGGTTCGTTTACTCTCCATGATATCAATCCTCCAGAAATATGATGTTATGTAATCAGGGCTGTGCACGGACGACACGTACCTGCAGTAAGGGCCAATCTGAATCAGGCAACAAGGCATCAGTTAGCTACGCAGTTTCCCTGCTGAAGCTGTCCGTGACGCGAGCATGGAGCTGCCTGAGCTGGCTCCCCGAGTTAACCACAAAGAGCGCCCCATCGTCCATTCCAACGCCCGACCTCACCTCAACCCTTCCACAACCACCGCTCACCCACCGACGAGAATCGACGATTCCGATACACACAACTACCAATCCAACGAAACTCGTCCAATCCGCCTCACCGAATCGTCGAGATGGACAGCCTCGTGGCCAAGTACAGCCGCCCGGCGTACGAGCAGCACAACACCTTCCGGGACGATGAGCAGGAGGACCTCGAGCTCATGGGCGAGGCCCCGCCCTTGTCTCTGAAGTTTGCTATGCCTCCCGTCGCACATGTGAGTTGATTTCTTCAAAGCCGAGGTTGATGTTGGAAGGGAAGCAGTACTGACATCCCCGCCCCCTCACCACAGCCCTCCTCCTGGCTCCGCGCAGCAACAGATGACCGCGCCAACCCCGACTGCCCCATCAAGATCGCCCACGGAACGACAACGCTTGCCTTCCGCTTCCAGGGCGGAATTATCGTCGCCACCGATTCCCGTGCCACCGCCGGTAACTGGATCGCCTCGCAAACGGTCAAGAAGGTTATCGAGATCAACAGCGTTCTGCTGGGCACCATGGCCGGCGGTGCCGCCGACTGCCAGTACTGGCTCGCCTGGCTCGGCATGCAATGCCGTCTCCACGAGCTCCGTCACAAGCGCCGCATTTCCGTCGCTGCCGCCTCCAAGATTCTCGCCAACCTCGTCTACTCATACAAGGGCATGGGTCTCAGCATGGGAACCATGTGTGCTGGTGTCACCAAGGAGGAAGGCCCCGCGCTCTACTACGTCGACTCAGACGGCACTCGTCTGGCCGGCAACCTCTTCTGCGTTGGCAGTGGTCAGACCTTCGCCTACGGTGTCCTGGATGCCGAGTATCGTTACGACCTGACGGACCAGGAGGCTCTGGAGCTCGGAAGCCGCAGTATCCTGGCCGCCACCCACCGTGACGCCTACTCTGGTGGTTTCATCAACCTCTACCACGTCAAGGAGGAGGGCTGGGTCAAGCACGGCTTCAATGACACGAATCCCATCTTCTGGAAGACGAAGTTAGAGAAGGGCGAGTTCACCAACGTCACGGCCGACTTGGATTAGGAAAGGGCGCGAGCAATTGATGATGCTGTTATGAAGAACCCCGGGCACCCCAGACAATTACACTCGGTACTTGCGTTGCCAGAAGAACGGCAAGTGAGAGGGTAAGCTTCCAAGGAAGACACTCGGGCAGTTGGTAACGGGTTGAATGGTCATGACCAGCGAGAGGAGACAGCTGAGCTTTGGAGGCATTGGCATCCTACGAAGGTGCGAATGCCTTGTAACTTGTAAACTAGACTATGATACAAGTGCATTCTTATGATTTTACAGTTTTGGTACAATGACTTTTAGGGGATTCGTATACACAATGTGGTGAAAGGCTGAAAGGGGGGTATCATGACTTCTGTCCATCCCTTCTCACCCAGCCGCGAACGCCGAGGATACCGCCCTCGTCGCTCGCCGCATCAATCGACCACTTCTTCATCACAGACACGGACAGATCACTCTCCCAGCCGGCCTCGTACATCTCCACGCCAGTCCAGGCAATCATGGCTGCGTTGTCCGTACACAACGCCGGCGGCGGTGCCGTGACCTCCACATGCTCGAACCCGCGAACATTGAGCATCTTTCGCAACACGTACATCAGGAAGCGGTTGCTCGCGACACCACCGCTCACCACCAACGTCTTCAATGCATCTTTAAGCTCCGGCTCCGCTGCGAGGACGAGGAACACGCGGGTGGCGAGGTGTTCGAACAGCAGACGCATCGCAGCGCGTGCGAGAACCCTCCGCTCGTCGAGAGTCATGTCAACGCCGCCCGCTTCTGTGATCCTGCGGATCTCGCTGCCTATCCCGGCAAAGGCGTATGAGAGGTCGCGCGACCCGGCCAGTGGGGGGTGGAGTTGCCAGTGGTATGGGGCCGGGGCGACGTACGTTGCAATCTCGTCGCGGCGGTATGTTGGCGGGGTGTATTCGTAGTCGTAATCGGGGTATTGGCCGGGCGGGAAGGAGTCGGGGAAGGCGAAGCGTTCGAGGAGAGCGCCGTACATCACGTCCGTGTGTGCGGCGAGCATGTCGGCGGGCAGGATGTGGCGGGCGGCCTTGTCCAGGGCGTCGCCGACGGCGACGTCCTGTGTCGAGGCCAGGATGCGGTGGTCTGTCAGGGAGCGGGAGTGCACGAGCTGAGTATGTCCTCCTGATACCAGCAGCGTCAGGAAGGGGAACTCCGGGTGGCCGCGCAGAGCAGTGCTGGTGGCGGCATCTTGCTTGAGGGCGGAAACGAGCCGTGGGGTGAGGGCGTGGGCTTGCATATGGTTCACGGCGACGAGGGGCACCTGCCACGCCGTCGCGAGACCCTTTGCGGTCGAGAGGCCTGTGGCGAGGTTGGAGGACATGCCGGGCCCGCGCGTGACGGTTATGAAGTCGGGCTTTTGGCGGGGTACGCCCGAGACGGTGATTGTCTTGTTGTCATCGGCCGGCGGCGGGAGGGAGGCGAGGGACTCGGCGATCAGGGGCGCGAGAGAGGCGTCGTGGCCCGCAAGGGCGGCAGGCGGCCAGATGCCCCCGAAGGCGCGGTGGTCGGAGGTGATTTTGCGGTTGAAGTGTAGGTTTGCGCCGGCGGGTGTTTTGGAGAGGAGAGCTACGCAGGTGTCGTCGCACGATGTTTCGATTGCGAGGGTGAGAAGGTTACGGCGGTGGTGGGAGGAGATAGGCCTGTGGACCTGTCGGCGGAGGAGGGCGCGCCATTGTGTTTGGAGGAGTGGTGGGCGCATCGAGAGTGGACGATTTGTGTGGTTTGGGTGGTAGGCAGGTGAAAGATTGGGAGGGTGGTGGTGACGGAGAAGTTTGGAGCTCTTATCTTATCAGGAATGGAGCTCACCGAGGTACACCGACTTACACGCACCACACCGAGCTGCACTCTACTACTTGTTGCAGCCTTGACAACGGTATCAATTGCAAATGCATGATCGAATGAGTACTCTGGAAATTTCTGGGTCTATGCGCCTGCGTTTCGTACACACGAGACGTTTCCAAGGCCTGGGAGAACGACTATCACAGAATAACGCTAGGTGTGTACGCAGCTCAGGTTACTAAACAAGATAACTGTGTGAATCCACATAGCGAAAGAACTGTCTAATAAGCAGACAAGATAGATCCTTTCCACTTGGACCATCTACAGGATTTCTAAAGGAACAGTATCAACAAACTGTTAATAAAGTGGCTAGGTCTTAGGTCGTGACCGCTGCCAGTCACGAGATATAATAACAGTCTAAACAGGCCGTCTCGTACCTTAGCATTTACTCTTTTCAATACGCGCTCGAGACTCAATATTCCTTAGATTAGGTAGCTGATTAATTCATTTTAGTAAGTGCTTACTTTTCCTTTCGTCTGTCTCTTCAAGCATTCAACATCTTATGCGGCACCTATACATACAACGATGTTACTAGAGCATGTATTCGCTATAGCTTATTGCATTATCTCTTCTATTGTCTCCTCTTCTGTTATTATCTCCTTTACTATTATCTCTACTATCGTCGTCTCTGTCGTCGTCTCTATCGTTATTATTATCGTCTCTATTATCGTTATTTCAATTATTAGTATTGTATCGATCGTTGTAGTTATCGTTATTACTACCGTCACCTCTGCTATTGATAAATATCACCGGCGCCAATGGGGACGAACTAAGGAACGTAGCACGAGGAGCTACATATCCCAATTTTCCCGACTTCTAACAATACCCATACATCAAATTTCACAGATAGTCACGTCAACTTTTCTCAAGTTCTAAAATTTGTGTCGTCGATTCATTACGCTTAGTTGCCAGACGGCTTAACATCACCCATACCCTCGCCGTAATCCTCCTTCAGAACCTTGCCGCCAACCTCGAGCGGATGGCTCTCCTGCAGCACGTACAGCATCCTCGCCCAGCCGGTCTCGCTCACGTTCTTCCACGCGTGGTTGGTACCGCGCTGCACGGAGACGTCGCCCCTCTTCATACGGCGCACCTCGCCCGAGTCGAGGACGAGGTCGATCTCGCCCTCGAGCACGACGCCGTAGTCGAGGCTGACGGTGCGGTGCATCGGCGACAGCGAGCCGGGCGGCATGTCGACGATGCGCATGACGCTGCCGCCGGGGATGACGATGCCGGGCGGGTTGGCGAGGCGCTCGGCGTACGAGGAGATGTCCGCGTTGCCCGTGAAGGAGGCGGGCGTCTGCTCCGTCGTGTAGCCCAGGTAGAACTTTGCGTTGCCGCCGACGGTCTGTTGGGGGATCTCCTCGGGCAGGGAGCTGTTGAATATGGCCTTGCCCTCGGGGTTGTGGTCTGTGATGAAGCGCTGGGGGCGGCGGAGGTCGCTTGGAGGTGCGTCGGATGCCATTGTGGTCGATTGATGTGGTTTGCTGGTTCTCTGATGCTCTTGATCAAGTTTTTTATTCAGTACTTAGAAGCTTCGATTGTGTTTTCGGGAAGTTTTTGCGGAGGGTTTATGACGACACAGGCACAATTGAGACGAAAGGACCAAGCTAATCAGATGCGAGCTTGGGAGAGAGGTGGCATTCTTCTACTCCCCTAAATCCAGCTTCAAACTCAATAATCAGCTTTCCCGTCTGATACAACCGGTGTGTGTAGCTCTTTTCCCCGCTACCGCGACACCATTGAGGCATTGCCGAGAGCATCCCGAAGAGCGAGTGATGCAGGCGCCGAACGTCACAGCGGAAAGTGGAGGCGGGACCGGAAAGAGGGGGAATCGAGTGTCCCTGACACTGAGCGGGATGAGAGGTGGATGGGGTGGGGAAAGGGGACGAGGAGTGGTTTGTGCGGGGATGGGAAGGCGGCGGACGCTAGGTAGGTATGGAAACTGTATCCTAAAATCCCGGCAAATGGACATTGAAACTGGGGAAAGGTGTCTTTTTGTTCCTTTACCCTTCCAGAGGGTCTTGTTTCGTATGTAGCTTGTGTGGGTCGCGAGTGGCGGTCTTTGACTTCGGACTCTTCACGGACAACGCATGATGCGTGACGAACAGCTGAGTCGACATGTCACTTTCGACAAGACCTACTACACACAAGCTTCTGTGTTCTTCATGTTTGAAACGAACTCCAAATCAGGAATGTAAGTCCCGAGGTGACGTTCGTAATCGGGCTCGGGGATGTATTTTGGTCAAAATGTGATTAAATGTAGTAGAAGTGATAACAATAGCGACGATGACAATAGCAGCGATAGGAATAACAACGACGACGACGACGACGACGACGAAGACGACGACGACGATAATCACAATAGTAGTAGTAATGATAACGACGACGATACTACGCTATCTCAAAAGTGCGAACGTTGTGATTGTTTGTCATCAACTTAGTATACAGAGTAGGGTATTCGACAGGATGTGATTTTCGCAGCTCGAATGCCACAATCAGCTATGTACAGCGCCTCCTACAGGCATGCCAACATCGTAAAACTCCAACCAATACTTTACTCTATCCTCCTGGCACCGGAAACGTTGGGCACGCCGGTGCCCTCCACCACCTTGGCGCTCACAAAGTCGTAAATGGGCATCTCAGACAGGAACTTCGTAATGTGGTGCAGGGTGGGAAGCTTCTCCCAGTCGTGCGCGTCCATCTTGACGGAGACGTCGGACGATCGCGAAACAGCGTGTACCGTGGCGGGTACGTCCCGCGCCTCCTCCTCGTGCGGGACCACGCACGCATACTCGGCATCGGCCTTTCCAGGCTCCCCGACGGATGGGATGTACCTGTACGTCAGGATGCCGTAGTCCGCCTCGCCGCCGATGGTGCCGTGCTCCGTCTTCGGGTCGTCCGCGCGCAGCTTGTTGAGCCTGATGTCGGCGAACGTGGCGCCGCGCCACGATGCCTTCACTCGGGCCGCCGTCGCGTGCAGCTCAAAGTCGATGTCGCAGAACAGCTTCGGCATGCCCAGCTCCTCGCGGCCGGAGACGATGGGGTCTGTGAGGCTCTCGAACAGCACGGACAGGTGGGTGCCGTTGATCGTGCTGCCGTCCTTCTTGACGTACTCGATGCCGTGGATGTAGAGGCCCAGGTGGTTGTATCCGCCGCCGCCGAGCCAGGACATGTTGTTCAGCCTGGTGACCGAGAGAGAGGCGGCGCAGACGGTGCCTGGGGCTTTGAAGCGGAAGGAGTCGGTGGGGAGAATGGTCTCGAGGAAGGTTCGCGAGGTGAGGAACTTGACGGACATCGTGGTGAATGTGCGCTCAATGTCTCCGGGCTGTCGACGGCCGAAAGTATCCTGGCGAGGACCTGGGAAAGGACCGTAACCGACGGGCATGCGCCAGTAGAGGTCCTTCTTCTTTGACCACAGCCATCTGTTGTAGACCTTAGTTGCGTGGTCGTGTTCGTCGTGGCCAAAGTTGTAGTTTTGGTAGGTGTTCACTGAGACTTCGTGAGCATATCGTGGGACATGTCGTCTGGAGGGTCGACTTACTCTCAACAGCTGGTGGAGCACCTGGAATTCTGTCCTTGCCTGCTTGACGGGAATACTCCTGGATGGCATGTGCACGGGTCAAGCGGATTTGTTGGTAGAGGCGAAGTCGTTCCGGTACGTCCTCAGGAGAAGTTCCCTTGGGAAGCACGACCGCCAGGGCGGCGCCGTCTTCCATGGCCTGGCCTGCTCCCTGACCTTGGTCTTTCTGACTGTTAGTATATCTCAGATATCGTCAAGAATCTCAACGTACGAGGAGTAAAGGGATGGGCGGCGTCTCCCAGCAAAGCGAGCTTGCCGTTTGTCCACGACTCCATTGGGTCCATGTCTAGTAGCTGCCAGACATTCACTTCATCTGGGTGCACCTTCTTGATCAATTGCAAAAGAGCCGGGTCGAAGTCCTGATAGACCTTTAGAAGTTGCTCGATTGAGCCCTTCTTGTTCCACTCTGAAGTGTGTTAGTACTTGAAAGACAAACGTGACGTCCAGGGCATACCGTCACTAGCTGTTGCGTGAGACTCGGCGTCGGGGTGAATGCACACAAAGTTCAATAGCTGATTGTCGTTGCAGGGGTAAATGACGATGCGTCTGTCTGTTCCAAACCAGATACCGAGCTGGTTGTGCTTGTCGATGAGGGGAGCGGTGACGGGGTCCTCCTCGACGACGGCCCGGGGAATGAGGAAACGGAAAGCCGCCTTGCCTGAGCGGAACAGCTTGGGGTCGGTGCCCGTCACGTATTTCCTCGTCTTGGACTGAACATGATCTTAGTCTGTTGCTCAAGAACGATGGCTCATTGAAACTCACGTAGATGCCGTCAGCGCCAATGATGACATCCGCCTGGATCGTCGTTCCGTCCTCCAGCTGAAGAGTGCCCTTCTCCGGGTCGGCGCCAACTATCTTAGACGCAACATGCACCTTGGCCGGGGTGCTAACACCATCTTCCGCAGTAGCCACACTTCGGATCTCGTTGTGGAGATAGGCACGGTGAACCAGCTGCCACGGATGCTGCCATTGGCCTTTATGTTTGGTGATGTCCACGTCGAAGCCGCCCTTGTTGTTCTGGTCTCGCTCCTTGAAGTGATCCGCCGGGTTGCCACCAAACGTCTCGGCGTAGATGCCCCATCGTCTCAGCAGTCCGTTTGAGTTGGGCGCCAGATGTACCGCCGCACCGGTCTCGCTGTTCAGTCTTGATTGTTCGTACAGCTATTATTCTGCGATTAGCTCACAAACGAGGTGCGTGAGGACCATGGGATTTCATACATCCACTTGGTGACCCTGTCGTCGAAGTGCGATTGCGGCACTCAAACCTCCAATACCGGCGCCTACGATGGCAATTTTGAGGGGATGAGGATATTCGCCGACGAGGGGACTTGAGTACACGCCATTCGGGCGCTGGGCCTCACCGTTGACCAACATGGTGTCGACGTGGTCCTTTTTGTGATTCTGTGAAGTCTTGCGGGATGTGAAACACGGACGCTTTAGTATGAAGGGTGGGAAGCCTTGGAAGAAGGAAAATGAGTGAAGGGAGGGCTGGGATTAAAGCTGCATATGAAATAACCGCACAAGAAACCAATTATAACCCCCCCCAGGCAACCAACTTATGGGAAACATGTGCAGAGAAGAGCAGTAGGGCGAGAGGCAGGGCTAGTCGGGCTTGCAGACCGTCATCTCAAACGCTCCCGCTCGGCTGCGCATCGATCGTCGCGCTCGTACTCGGCCCCTCCCTGTCCCCCCCCAGCGCAACCACCACGCTGTCTGTCACCACTCTCTCCAGGCTTCTTCGGATCGAACGCAGATTACCACCACACCCGCCAAGACCAGTCGTTCGAAGTAGTAGTCTAGCAGAGAAGAACGACCCCGAGTGCATCTACCGTTCCATCGGGATGGCTCAGCTCGTCCACGGGGGCTGGCTTGGTCCCTTTGCTTGGCCCGCGTGCCTCTCCCCCCGCATTTGGCCGGGCGGGAAGCCGGAAGCACGGCGGGGGAGGGACCAATTTGGAGCTTTACCGTCTTTGTCCTGTTGCTTCGCAGTAGACGGTCCTCTGTTGCTGTGAAACCTCGTCCACAACTAGACGTTGATATGCATAACAGCCCAGCGGCATGCCGGCTGGGATGGTCCCGGGGCGAATAGAAGCAAGGCGGCAGCCGCACTAATAATTGAACGTTGCCGAGTCGAAGGTGGAATGGCGGGTGGTGATTTGTCCATCACCGGTTCTTCGTGTCTGTTAGTGTTCCGGGGAGTTTTAGGGACGATGGAGGGGTAGCGAGCAAAAGACCGGCTTGTGGGGGTGGAGCCACTCTAAGTGCTGTGTGTGTGCTGTCGCTGTCAGTGCTGTCTGACATGAGTACAAACAAGTGACCACCGGAGACACTTGAAGTTTCCAGCCCCCATTCTCCCTCTCCCAATTACAGCGCCAAGCCAAAGTCTTCAGTCTTCAGTCATGTCGTCCGGCGTGTTTCGCCGATGCTCTTCGGCTGCTGCATGTCACGAGTGGATGTCTTTGGCGCCGCCGGACATTGTGGGATGAAGTGAACTCAATCCTGAGAGATCGAATACCACTTGAATGGCCTCGTGGCACGTTGCCAGGCTTCACCTAGCTCTTCTTCCCGCCTGTCGGGCTGTTTTCCCGAGAACGCACCATCGAATGCCTTGTGCGGCAAGCAGAAAGGTGTCTGACAAGCTGAACTGAACGTACGTGGAACCCTCGGGATCCGTGCCCCTGTCTCTCCCGTCTCGGTCGCGGTAGACAATCGGCTCCGGCGTGCTTACCCCGCCCCGATACCGCTCCCGAGACACCACCAAAGCCGGGCCACCCCTCCTCTCCCCCTTCGCTCACCACAACACATTTCCGGATCGGACGAACTCATTTACACTCCGCTCCGTCCGCCGTTGCTATTTTCGCATTTTGAAAAATTCTCATTAACTAAAAACCAAGGATCCACAGAACCCCCCCCCCCCCCCCCC